ATACAGCCTACAGTAATACATTAGGCCTAGTTAATGCAATAAAGAAATAAGTGATCGTATTTCTATTATTAGGTTGTATTATTACTGTTATTAAATGTACTATAATACTTAATAAATTTACGTAAAAAATAAATACAGATGTTATTAGATTGTATTTACGGTGCTAAATTTAGTAAAATAAATATTTACAACCTAATAAATAATTAGCCTAGTTTAATAATACAATGGAGAAATAACTGATACTGTACTTCGGTAATTATACTATGAACACCAGAAATTACCATATGAGTAGGATTAACTGGGTGTGTAATGGTTCCTTGTCTTAACCAACACCCTTATTCTGAAATAAATCATTCCTTTGTTAATGACATTATTTCTACTGATATTTCTTCCTACTGGCATTATTTTCTACACCCTGTGTGTTTATGTGGGTAAAGATTTGAACACCCCCGCCCCCACTTTCTGGAAAAAAAGCCTTCCATCTTGGTTCAACCGCCATTAGGTTAAGTATGTGTAGTCATGGAGCTATACCTGTCTCTTATACACATCTAGATGTGTATAAGAGACAGCCCCCTGGCAAAAGGGCATAATAACTGACATTTTTGGCGAAATTGAGTTATATAGCCTAGTGTGGTCAGTACATCATGTTACACGTATGTTGACACAAAAAAAAATGTAAAAAAGTTTTTCCCTGGCTAGATAGGGGCATGGCAAAAGGGCATATATAACTACACAATTTTTAGTAAATTCCCAAGGCAAAAGGGCATAACTGCAAAAATAGTCTGTGATACGCTGAAGCATGATGTTCTTTCAACAGCCAACCAATCAGAAGAGAGCTTTCTCCCTGATTAATGGGGGTTGCTTGTTAACCCTCTAGATACCGTCTTCGACTGTAGTCAAAATTGACCTCAAACCGAGAATTCCCATTTTCGACTGCAATCGAAATTTCGTGACTAAAAAATAGGTGGTTTTCAAATCGCTCTTCTGTTTTTATTTTAGCT